GGTCGGGACAGACCTGCGGACGACTGTTTTTTTTGCCCATTCAAAACGTGAGTTGTGACCCACGAGCCGTTGCCCCTTTTTCTTTCCTTTTGTTTCCCTAAACTAAGGGCATACTCAAAAGGGGACCCCAAACCTACGAAATTTGTGGATTTGGGAAGGGCCAATTCGAGGTCTTGGGATTTGGGAAGGGCCGGGCCAATTTGGGAAGGGCCGATTTGAGGTTTTAGACAAGGTCGCGGCCATCTGGAGAAATGGGGATTTGGTACTTCGATGGTCATATGGCACCATCCACAAATTGTGCAAGAACTTTTGTGAATGAATTGTTGCCAATTTTTGAAGAAAATGCAAAAAACRAAAAAGGGCACCTGCGGTCACCTCCAGAGGTGACCACAAAATCCCTTGCCCCACGACTTCCCAGGCCGCTGACAAATGGGCACARGAATAGTACATTTGCGAATTTAGTAGATCCATRTGACCGACCTTTTACCCTTCTTTTGGAATTTTGGGAATATAGGTCCCCATGTGAGTATGCCCTMAGCTATATTCTTCTCTTCTTTGTTTTTTTTTTTTTCCAAAAAAGGGCCCAGTGCCCAAGGCTCCAATTATGAATTCGAATACATCATTAAACCACAGGCCTCTTCCCATTAGGGCTGGAAGAGCCTCAGCCACTGCTCCCCTTTCTCTTTTTTTTTTTTACGGAACAATGTCTTTATAAAAGTCGAGAACTGGGCCCGGCGTCCCTTATAAAATTAGGTGGGGCCCTCAGCGGGCAAGGCATCATCGGCCAAGCACATAGTAGGCATCACTAGATTTAACCCCACAGCCAACTCCACAACCAGCTCCACAACCAACTCCACAACCAACTCCACAACCAACTCCACAACCAACTCCACAACCCCAACAACTCAAAAAGTCAACAAAAATTATCAGCAAAATCCAAGTTATCCCTAAGAAGTGAAAATAATGAGGAATTTGCACTTATCACAACAATTCCTACCTATACCTTCCCTGAATACATATTTAACAAAAACGATCTCAAAAATTTCAACTGCACACCTTAGGAGATTGAAAGTGGTCAAACTTAAATGTCACTTAGCAAAAGCGAAGACTGTCCAGGATGGTAGGCTCTATGGGGGAGGAAGCGTCAAGCCGGACATCTCGGATTATAACCACTGACCACTCAATGAGAAACAAGCCATCAGACCAAGTAAAAGCAGCTGCCATGTGCCGCGAGAAAAATTATAATAACAACAGTCGTTACAACCCTAATTAGGTGACCCGATTTTCGACGACCTTGAAGAAAACTTCAACCAACCCAAAATCCGCAAACCACCATCAATTATCGGGATCCACCAATAGAATCGAATGACGAAGTACGATGGACTAAAAGATTGGAACTAATAAGAAATTCGCACACAAAAAATTCAATTATGTACATTAGTATAGGGCCTATAGGGTTTTAAATTGCAGAATTCCTTCTAATTTATGAAATGCAACATGGTCAATACTTCAAATGAGCGAAGATCGTCGAGGATGGCAGACTCAATGGGGGGACAGCATCAAGCCCAACATCTCAGATGATCCCCGCCGTCCACACTATAAGAAACCAGCCATGAAACTGAAGAAAAGCGGTCGCAAACCCACTCTATGGCTTGAGTCTTAAGTCTTCAAAACCAAACAAAACCGGCGAACCAGCCGTCAAACCGAAGAAAAGCAGTCGCAAACCAGTCGCAAACCCGCTCTACCAGCTTGAGTCTTCAAAACCAAACAAAGCTGGCATCATTGAAGCAGAAGCAACCGACACAGAAGAATCAAAGTGGTCAATACTTCAGWKGAGCGAAGACTGTCAAGGATGGCAACACCAACTTGAGTCTTCAAAACCAAACAAAACCTGCATCATTGAAGCACAAGAAGCCAACACGGAAGAGTGACCGCAAAGCAGCTTCAGCAGCTTCAATCTTCAGAGCCGAACAATACTACAGGCTGCTCCAGACAACGCGGAAGCAGGATTACCCTGCGCTCATTCCGTATCAACGTTCAGGGGGCAAAACCCCCGATCAGCTCCATCAGGCATAGTGGCGATGCACCAGTATAACGAAAACTGCAGTGCTATTGYGTCGTCAATGTGACACAGTAACGCTCCGCTAACACAGCGCTAACGCGACATAGCCCGACCAGATGCCATCTATTTCACCTATCACTACGTCTATACAGGGCACCACTGCAAGCATAGTTGTTTCTCACAATCAAGAAAACGCAAATTAAGGGGAGAAAAAATGAATCAACGGCAGCCACAACATATTTTGAGTTCAAATACGCAAAAAAAATAAGGAAGTGGCAGTGGAGGATGGAGCACGGTTCCAAAACGCAAGAAAAACTAGGACGAGCGGTAATGTCAGGCCCCCAGTTGGAAAAAGCGGTAATGGCAAGTATAAGATTAGGGCATCCATACCTCTGGTTGTATTTTTAGTGYTAATAATAGCGTCAAAGTTTTTGCGAGGTTATATAAAGACGTGTTGTTTTTTGTGTTTTGGGCGGCGTTATTACCGTTTATCGTATTTTTGCAGTAATGTTAAGCTTTAGTTTTATAATTATTATTACTATTTATTTAATAAAAAGGTTATGCTGTTTATTATATGATTCTATCTTTTTTTATTATTAAATTTTATATTATTATTTGTT